CACACATCGGCGGCGGCGGCGACGGCGACGATTTGCGCCGCCGATTCGCTCGCTCTCTCTCTCTCTCTCTTTCTCTGTTTCTTTGCCTCCCTTCTCCTCCCCTTCCCATAGCACCCTCCTCGCTGCGGCTCATTTTGGCCGTGCGAAAACATTTTTAGGAGAGACCCCGCGCGCTCTTTAGCCTCGCTCCACCGAGAGTCGCTCCGTCGTGCTGAGCCAAAGATCCCGTCCACACGGTGTGCAGCGCTCTGTTAAGCCTCTTCTCATTGGCTTGTTCAAATGATCCGCCCGATATGACGTCAGCTCCTCCGCGAGCGCCTCGCCGAGAGAGAGAGAAAGAGAGAGAAAGAGACTAAGAAATCAGAGAAAAGAGAAAGAAGGCCCATTATAATGGCCAGGGCATAGGTGCAGTACAACGCTATATTACTCGTTCTTCATCGCCAAACGGCCACGGCATAGGTATATTATAACTATATACGTATGCATATATATACAGCAAAGAACAAAAAAAAAAGAAAGAAAAAGAGACAGAGAACAAAGAGGAAAAAAGGTACGCATTCCGATGCATAAGCCCTGGCGTCTCTTTCTTTCTTTTTATAGCTGCCGCCGCCACTACACTAACGTAGCGCGTACAACTGGCACAGAAATTTTCTTTAATTTGTTAAAAGAATTACACGTTACTTAAATTACGCTCGAGTCTGTGATTACATATATACGGATATACATACAGGCGCGCACTGTTACGCGTTAAAATTAAACGCACACGCAGAGAGTACAGGCTGATGTGAATAGAGTATCGCGAGGCGCAAAGTGCGAGCGCTCCAAAAACGAGATATGCCCTTGGACTTCCGCCGGACGATTCGCGGCCTTGATGAAGCTGAAGGAAAAAAAGCATCGGCAGCGAGACGTTGTGTATTTATTTTATTTTATTTTATTTTATTTTTTTTTTTTTTTTTTGTAACGAGCGTGCCTCGCGAATAAATTACGTTATTGTATCATTATTATTCCGCTTACGAGGATTATCCGCGAGGCCTGCGCTCGTATTCGGAGTAACGTCCAAGCGGCCACCGTTGTTTTGCGGCGCGCGACAAGAAGAAAGGAGCAGCATACGTGCGAGGGAGCGAAAAAAAAATGTTTAGTTTCGGAAGTAGTCGCACTACGGGCGAGCGAGGAAAATTCCGAGAAACGGTTTCGCATAGGAGAAAATGACGCGATTTAGGTAATAGTGTATAAGCGCGGTAAAAGGAAAGAAAAAAATAAAAAAGAGACGAGGCGCTCCTGCTGTACTCCGCAAATACGCACGTGTGCCTCCGCGAATTTTACAGCACACACATATACACAAGAAGATACATAAGTTGGCCGCTCGAGAGACGCTGCGCGGAATAAACGCTCGCGCCAACCTACACACCAAGACGGAATACACGAGTATGAAATAAGTCGATCGACGTCGCGCGAGGTTAAAGTCCTTGGATGACGACGTGCGTACGACGACGAGTTTTGTACGCTCGTACACTATTATATTTATTATTAAACGCGTGTCTCGGACAAGCGTACACATGAAAACGATCATATTTTATATGATCAGCGATGATGTCACATTTGATAATGCATAAGCCTACTCGCTCGCTCGCTCGCTCTTTCTCTCTAGAGTCCGTGTGCGTGCGAGTTGGTGCGCGCCTACGCTCGTGCTGGCTCGCGCTCGAGTAACATTACAGAATATTATAAAATAGGTGCACGGCGAGCGCGAATATATCGATATATATACAAATATGGATAGACATAAGGGAAAAACTGTGTCCGCGTATAAAGCTTGCACTGCTTTCTCCTCACGTTATAGCTCTGACTGGCTCTAACTTTATCCAAAAGACTAATGTTTCGGCGAATTTCGTCATTTCATACATTCAATCAATAAGTTTCTTTGTCTCAGGCCGGGGTTATAGATATATTTTAAGCTCGAACCCATCGATCGAACGCACACACGTACGCGCGTTACGTTCACGATTCCATTGTTAACATTAGTTTTCTCTCACGCGAGAGAGAGAGAGAGAAAGAAGCATCTCTCTTTTCACGTTATAAGCTTCCCCTAACGTAGCGTGCGGCCGATCTCATGGTATACAAGCAGCTTTAAGGTAGCAGAGTCGTATATAGGATCCTTATACCTATATGCTTTCTTTCTCCTCTCTCTCTTACTCTGCGTCTATACCTGTAATATAACTGCCTCCTGCGTGCTATACGGTATATTATAAGGCCGAAGCTGAGTGAGCGTAAGTCCGATGCCGAAGTTGCTGCAGATGCAGCAGCGGCAACGAACGACGACGCGTTCTCTCTTTCTCTCGGCTGTGCGGCTTGGAGCCAACTTCTTTCTCCGTCTCTTCGGGACTGCTGCTGCTGCAACGAGTGTGTTCGTATACCGGTTATGCATATGAGCGACATGCTCCTCAACCCCATCCGCGTTTGTTCGCGCGCGAGAGCATTATACGTATATATATAGAGAGAGAGAAGAACAAAGCTCTGCTGCCTCGAGATCGCTGCTCGCTCTCTTCTCTCTCTCTCTTTTACACACTTTTATTCGGCCGAAATGCAGCCACGATCGTAAAGTCGGCGCGCGATTTTTTGGCCGAAACGGCGAGAAAAAAAGAACAGGACGAGAGTAGAGGAGAAAGCGATCGAGACTCCGATTTGGGAATAGGCGAGGCGGGATGTTCCAAGTTCGGGGGCGAGCGCGCGCGCGCTATACTCAACCAAAAAGAAAAGAAAAAACAAGCCCGAGGAAGATGGGCCGAGATGGTGCTGCAGCTTCTGCTGCACTCGTGTTATATGCCATTATAAGAGGTGCGCGTGTTTTTCAAGGGGAAGAACGTATAACAGCATCGACGAAGACGACGTCTTAAAACGTATATGCCTTGGCCGAGCGCGGGGGATCGCTGCCTGCTTGCCTGCCTGTGCCTGCCTGCACACTTACCGCGCGCGCGAGCGAGCAAGAGAGAGAAGCTGGTCAAGCAACATTCCGTAACTTTTATATATACTCACCTTGTATTATCCTAACTCTTCGCTTGCTGTGCGCGAGAGTAAGAGAGAAAGAGAGCCCGAGAGGAGCGCGAACCCTTCCTTTTCGTTTCTCTGCTCTTCTTTACTTTTTTTTCTCTCATTTTGTTTTGTTTTTGCTCGTGCACATTATGGGGCCGAGCAAGCTGCGCCTGCATCTCCTTTAGGGATACGTCGTCTATTTTTCCTTTTCGTGGCGTCTTCTCTTTTATAGAATAAAAATTCAACGCTCGCCTTTATGGGAGAAAATCGATGAGATAGAAAAGGAAGAAGAAAGTTAGGACAAATCGACACCTCCAAAAACTTGCAAATATCACTTGAGAATTGTACGAGATTGTGTTCGAGAAGTACGAAATATCATTGTGCAGATTAGGACAGTGGTTACCACGTGTCAATTTATCCTTACTTTACTTTAATATATGAAATAAATGTAGGTACGCGATACTCGCCCAAAAGAAAATGAATACGGACGAGTATATAGCTCTGTATTATGCGTGCTGTGTATGCATAACGTAATACGCTAAAGCTCGTTTTTGCTCTCTCTCTCTCTCTTTCTCTTTTTCGCCGGCGCAGCAGCAAGTCCAGCAAAGTACATATACCCACACGTAAGATGCAATTCTTTCTCTCGCTCCGAACTCGTATAATATATATATACGGCAAGCGGGCAGAAAGTCTCGAGCTCCTCTCGTGGCTGTGTTACTGCCGTATAGTCAGCCGTGTAGTATATACAGCCGGCACACAGGAGGGAGGTGGGCGAGGGCGAAACTGGTCAAACGACCAGTTGGCCTTGGACGAGTAAAAGAGATTCTTCCTTACAGCTCGGGAAGATACCACGTAGGTATATACGGCGCAGACACGATCATCGGTTTCGCTTGCCTATATGTCCGATATATATACACGTATATAACCACGTCAGGCCTCGATTTATAAAAACATTTTCGTCGTTAATACACAAGTATATTTCGTTGAACTCGTGCGAGCGAATCAATCGCGATCGTTGGTTTGCGGCTCGCCATACGACACATTATACGGCTCATCTTAAAATGAATTTTCACGAGGCTACATCTATATTACGTTTGCGAGCGAGGGATTAAGTTCGATGAAATTGTTCCGTTGCTCCGATTATTTTAGCCCTCCAGCAGATACCTTACCTAAACGTGCGACCGCGCGGCTAAACGCGTAAAAGCATGCCTGTATTCCTATGCATACACGTTTTAGGTGCATAATATGCGCGCCGCATCGACTATGGGAAAGCCGAATTTTACCAAGTACAAGCGCGAGCTCGCGCGCATATAAATATATATAATGAGCAAGTTCGTGCGAGTGTGTGTGTGCATGTGTGTAAGGGGTCGAAGGGTCAGATGACTGGATGTGCAGTTCGCTGCGCGGCTCGAGTGTTCGTGTTCTCGCAGGCAGCATCTACCTATATATCCCATGCGACGACGAGTGCGAGTATATATACTTACCGCGTCGAGAGCTCTCCCCTTAACCTTGAGAAAGTCCACAAGATCGAGATTCGCACTACTCTTTAAGGGGGAGCCCCTTATACACTTTTATATGTATATATATAGCGTACACGTGCAACAGACAAGGTATATTGGTAGAGGTATAGCATGCAACATCTCGTTCTCTCGAAATTTCGCCCAAAAAGAAAGAACAGAGAGCAGCAGCGGAGGCAACGAGCGAGAGAGAAAGAGAGAACAATGCGTGCGAGTTAAAGGATCGTTTGCTGGTGTATATAAGGGGACATTATGTGCATTACACAGCACCGGAGACGCTCGATCCATCTGCTGCGCTCTTGCCGATTTACAGAATAACTTTATAGATACAATAATTTATGTATTATAATGCATCCTCTCGAAACTCTCGCATACAGCAATGATACAGTAATAATAAACGGACGGCGAATCAACGGCTCCGAATTATATATATCTTTTATTTTTGTCCATCTGCGTTCAGATGCGTATGTGAAAGGTGGCCAAAAAGTCCGAGGCCCGAGTGACGACGTGCTCGAACTCGAGGTAGGACAGGGCGCCGTCGCCGTCGATGTCGCTCTCCTCGAGCACCTTCTGGCAGACGGTCGTCACCTCGTCGTCGGCCAATGCCCCGCGCACCAATTGCCGGCACGTGCGCTCCAAGTCGCTCGGGCCCACCAGGCCGTCCTCGTCGAAATCTGCCCGGGCCCCCACACACGCATATATACGCCAGAGAAACAGAAAGAGCAAAAAGTATTATACTTTCGAAAATTTAATTTCTCGTGTACACGCGAGATGCGATGATTAATCGCGAATAACATCGTGCATATCGTTACACATATATATATTGCATATGTATATAAGGTACCGTAAATTCTGAAAGCGTAGTAAACTTTGAGATCGCGCGGGGCGTGCTCCGAGAAGACCGACATCATTTCGAGAAAGTCCTCGAAGCATATTCCGATATTTTCGTCCTGGCCGTCGTTATTTTGCCGATCGTCGCAGTCGACATCGAGGCGATGTTGCGCGTCGCCGCTGCTCTCGTTGCAACGTTGAGAGGAAGAAATCGAGGCATCGCTCGGCAACGATGTTTGCTGCTGCTGCTGCTGTTGGCCCGAAGTGCTCGCTGTAACGTTGTCCAAACTGTTCCTCGTGAATACACGCCCGATCCGTTCTCTGAATGGATTCTCCTGCAGTACATGTATACACGCACACATATATACTAGGGCCACCTCTATATATACGTGTGTTATACGCGTACGCGTGTGCGTTCGTATTTATGCGCGTGCGAGAGAAAGCCAAGAGAAAGAAAGAGCAAAAGAGAGCCGAATGAGAGAAAAAGAGGGTGAGCTGCTGCTGGCTCCTTACTTCTTCTCTCTCTCTGTTTTTTTTTTTTTTTTTTTATTATTTCATTTTACCTGCGTGATGTGCCGAGAGCCAAGAGTATATGTATGCTCGATTTTTAACGGCCGAAAGTTTCTGCACGCGCTTGTGTGTGTGCGGCTCTCTGCCTATTATAACATTCTCGTGCAGGAAAAAAATCTGTTGCTGCTGCTGCTTCGCGTGCGTTATAATGCGTGTGAGCGCAGAAAAACCCCGAAAGAGAGAGAAATAGGATCTTAGCGCGCTGAAGCCGCGTGCAGCGCAAAATTTTTTTACAGTATTTTTAATATTTTCGTTCACTTCGCTCGTTCACAACAATCGAGAGCTGATATAGTCTACTTGAATAAACGAATAAAATCTCCCCGAGGATTGCGAAACTTTCGAAAAATCAGACGCGAATGAATTCGATCGAGCAGGTATGAATCATTATATTGCTCCGCGACGATGATGACTATATATGACGCGATAATGTTGTGCATATACTCTTGTGTGCCTCTATGAAATCTCATTGAAAACTTCAATCAATTCTCATCTTTCTGGGTATATAATATGAATGCTCTCGCGAAACTGGACAACCTGTTCCAAAATGAAAATCATTCTGTTTCGCGAGCGCACTCGAGAGAGAAAGAAAGAAAGAAAGAAGAACCGGTTTTTTTCTCTCTCTCGCTCTCGGTCTCTCTTATACACTTACACATTTATACCTGGGCCATGCCTTTATATATACGTACTTTTTTATAAGACTCAAAAGTGAGAAATTAAATAAGTCGTTCAAACTTATGTATTATACCACATACACGAGCGTACAAATACAAGCGCACGAAAATGTTCAAAACGATTCATTTATATACGTTAATATTCGAAGCTTATAAACGTATACGCGTTTATGTATTATATCGTACATGGTCGCGCGCGGCGCATGTGTAACGATTATAATAATAAGCTCGGTGCGCCGAGAGCGATATATAACGCAATCGCTTGGAAAAAAAATACTTACACATACTGACAATTTTTGAGGATGTTTTTCTTTTGCACAATACGTGTTCATGCATACAAATATTAAAACGTAGTTATGACATTTATACAGTTTTGCGAGTCCTCGAGCAGAAGAAAACGCGCAATGATCTTACAAAGCTTTGTCCAACGGTAAAAAAGAAAAATCATTCGCTGTTGCTTAAAAAAAAATTCAAATGTAATATTCGTTTGTGCATTGAAAAGTTAAAAAAGGGGAGAAAGAGGGAGAGAGAGGACAAGGTGAAATGGGATGCGAAAGCTAGGCCGAGAGAAAGAGAGCCCCTGACACACACACAATTTATATAGGCGGGATATATACGTGTACGTTCTCAATCACACAAACACACACCTTTAACTCGGGTATTCTGGCTAAATAATCGAGTGGTAGTCGCAGAGATGAGGCCTCGTGCGGTGTCATGCTACGTGGAACCATTCCTGGATCAGCCATTTCTCGAAAACGTTTGTACAATCTAGGGAGTCGAAAGAAAAAATTAACTCCGTCGTCGAGTTTATCGGTTTTGATTTTTTTTATTTTGTTAGAAAATATATTATTCGATGCCACATCTTTTTTTTGCGATCGCTTTCTAATTACTTGAAAAATCACATTTAGTCCCTTGCTTTCGTGGAATCGAAAGACAAAAAACAAACAAGCGATTTCGAAATTACGGAGAGATATCTTTGAAATATCTTCCCGGTCAAACGGTTAACGTGTAGCCTCGTTTACCTGAGTATCTCTTTGCGCGTGAAGTAGGTGCAGTCCTGATAATCCTCGAGCTGTTCCTCGCTGAAAGTCGCGACTTTATTGCCCATGTTTTCCACTCGAGTACACGCGCAAATGGAGTGTGCGAGAAGAGAAACAGAGAAGGAAAAATCCGGAAGCTCGCGCCGCAAAGAGTCTCGAGATTGTCTCTCATTCGCGCGTATACGGTCGACTTTTTATCCTCGTCGTTCTCCGAGAGTGAACGATCGAGTGTGCGTGTGTGTACCCTCCGCGACATTCGCTGCAAAGTCGGTTAAGGGTGCGCCGATTCGCGCCGAGTTCGCTACTTTACCTCGCGGCACACCCCTCTTGTACATTAATAAGCTCGTGCGCGCAAGGACGTTTCAGGTAACACCTACGTGGAAAAAAGAAGTAAAAAGTAATGAACAACCACCCCGTGCTGGAATATAGGTTGCGACACGCATGGGTCCTGCATGATCCAGTGTAATAATGCGTATGTGTGTGCAGCGAAAACTACTGTTAGCCATACATCGGCACTATGTGGTAGTTATGTTGGTTGCGGCCTATACCTATAATACCTGTATATACAGCGAGCTACGACGGGCACGATCGTCACAATAGAGGGATACATTCTGAAAATTTCCGTACGAAAAAAAAGGGACCTAATGTTGTCGCGCGCCAAGGGGAGCTCGAAAACTCTCTCATTCAATAGCTGCTATTGCTATACAGTATAGGTATACAGTAATGCATATTCAGATATTTCGTGTCTACGCTCCGACCTGCTGTAAGCGCGCGAACCCCCAGGAAATGAGAGTCCCCGCGTGATTTTACATTATAATTCCCGTGAATACCGAGAAACTAAGACCGTGCGATACATTTTCCCATATTGTAAGCGGGATTATTACGATCGCTCTGACAAAGAATGTCGGGCGTCTCTGCGCTAAAAACTCCGAGTTTTTTTTTCTCAAATCACACGCACCAATTAGCAGCCATGTAAGTTACAGCTGAGACACGATGATGTTGACAAAGAGCTTGACACGTATCACGGGCAAGTGTTCGTCGAGCAATTTTTCACAAATTTACATGAATATCGCTATATGCACCTCACATTTATATTTTCATTTGATTTTAGCACTCGCTAATTGTTTGCTCAATCTCGACGAATTTTGACGACCGATTTATAATGCGGTACTTCATGATCTGACATAATAGACGATTGCGCGTGTTTTTTAAGCGACCCATCCAAAAACTCCAAAAACTTACGATGCGGAGAATTTTACCGTAACGAATAATATCCTATCACAATTGATAAACTTAAAGTGAATGTAAAATTGAAAATAACGAGTATTAATTGAATCGTTTGGTAATTCACTGATGAGTTCATTTTTTCGGAAAATTTTTAAAATAATTTTCTACGGTAAGCGCGCATGCGTCCGTACGACACTTCGGCTATATAACCTCAACTTCAATGCATTTACTTTACCAGCTAAACTGCATAACTGTGACATCTACGTATATATGTTTTGAAACAGGAGTTTCGAAACGTGTTATTGTTTACTTCAGAAGAGCTGTGATAATCTAACATTCAAATTCCAAGTCTCAAAATGACGTCTCAAAACAATTCAACTTGGTGGTTTGATTGTAATCAAGGAAAAAAAGAGCGTCCAAAATTTGAAAAACCTAATATAATTGGGTACTTTAGTTTGAATATGCAAGGAGGAAAAAGAGATTATGTGGGAGATTATTCGCAATTAGTTTACTTGAGCAAATGTATGCTGCGTGAACGAAGAGTTCACTTGAATTTAAATAATGGACTTGACAAAGCTATCAGAAAACCAGTTGGGAAGGACGAAAGAATTGATTTTATACTTACCTGGATTCTTAATAATTATAATAAAATAACGCTTGATCCTCAACCAGAACCAAGTAGATGGTACTTTTCTTGGTAACATTATGAATAAACTTCTTTCTATTTATAATAATTATTTTTATAGGTTGAAACCAGAATTTATATGTTATCGAGGAACATTGACAAAAATTGCAACTTCAAATTATGATGATTCTTTAGCTTGGATATTATGTGCTGTAAAATTTCATGGTACTATTTATATATGTTCATATGACACAGAAGAGCAAAAACATGAACAGCTCAACCGAACACCTAATGATCTTAAATTCACATCATATGGTTTTAAATTTGAACAATACATGACTGCAGGTAATGAAATCCAAGATAAACTTAATTACACAAAATTCAAACATTTTTCATACCAAAATTCATTTTTTAGATCACCCTAAGTCAATGCCACGGACATATGAACCAGTTAATGAAGGGTCAGAGTTTAGTTGCGTTTATACAACTAAATTAAATGATATGCAATTATTGTATCCTGCAGAAATGGACGCTGTTGATTCTGATGTTTTGTTAGAAGAACCAATTGATTGGAACAAAATAAACTTTGTTGAGTTTAAAACCAGTAAAGAACTAAACAGACACACTAATCTAGAATATTGGTATAGAAAAGTTATTAGATGGTGGTGCCAAAGTTATCTGGTTGGAGTAAGAGATCTTTTTTGCGGTAATAGAAGTCATAAAGGAATTGTCTATAGAGTAGATAAAAAGTCAGTGCAATCGCTTGAACATGATTTGAGGGTAAACATTTTTATTTATTTGTTTATAAAATATAAAAATTTATTTCTAACTTTGGGTTAATTTTAGGAATACAATTGGTATGTTGAAGATTGCTTAAAATTTTGTGAACAGTTTCTGAATCACTTAAAAACTGTTGTTAAACAAGATCACGACAAATGCATTTATAAATTCTACAAGCCTGCAAATAGTAGACAAGTTGAATTAGAAATTCTACCTGGTGATTCAGAATTAGCATTTTTACCACACTGGTTTACGGATCCAGTAAACAAAATAGTTGCTTCAAGAGACAATAGTTTTTAATTGCAAAAAAATATTTTTTTATAAACTCTTTAAAAATATTTTTAACGCACATGCAAATAAAAAACTTGATTACTAAACTGATTGTCCCCATATCTGATTTAAGGCTGACATTTCTTCTTTTGACATGGGTTTCAAGTTAAGTCCAGGAACTGGTGGATTGTACTCCATTTTACGCAGTTCATTCACTTTGACTTTTAAATCACTTCTTAATATATTGATTTGAATATCACATTGCTTTTGATCTGTAAAATGAAAGATTTTTTAAAATTTTACTTTAGAATATAGTAATTAAAAGTATTGTAAATTAGTCAAACCATTTTTTAATAATTCTTCAGCTTTTTTTGAATCCATTTTCATTATCAAAGGGCCTACAGTGATCCAACATTTATCTGCTTTCTGTTGTTGCAACGCTCTCATTCCAACTCTATCGTCATTTCTTCTTTTATCGAGACCAATTATTTCTTGTTTATCAATTAAAATTTCAACACCTTTTTCTTCAATTGTAGTCAAATAATCGAGCATTTTTTTCTTTGTGTCATCCATTATCTGTAAAAAAAATAATGATAAAAATTTATAATATTAAAAGTTCTTAAAAAAATGAAAAATATATTTATTTACTTCAGAATGTATTATTGTATCATCATAACTCTTGTCTAAGTCGCTTGCTGAAAGCTGCTTCTCTGCTGAGCTGCCTCTCTCTGTCTTTTCGACTAAATTCTTTTTTTTTTACATTACTTTTAAAATTTGCATGTTTAACAGCATTGACATCTCCAGGTTTAAAATGAGTTACTTTAGCCTCTTTTTGTTTTCCTTGACCTAAACCTTTCCGGTCTCTCTTTAATATAGTCTTAACTGGGTATTTTTGACCTTCACCAGATGGACCTAATCCACCTTCTTCGTCCCATCCAGTATTAAGCATTATTTGATATCCTTTATTTTGTTTTGAAATTCCATAAAATGTATTTTTCACTTTAGGTTTGCTATTAAAAACATGTAGAATTGATGCTTCATGTTTTGCTTTTGAAGATTCCTTATAATTTAATTCACAAAGATCACAATATAATTCTACATCAGTTACTTTTTTATTGTTTTCTGAAGTCAATGAGTTGATTGAGGATTGCTTTTTTGTTTGTTTGTAATTTTTTTGTTTTAGTATATTCACTATATCATAGTGTTGTTTTTTAATTGCTAAATCGAGTGCTGTGAGCCCTGATTTTTCTTTGGTTTTAAGTTTCGCTCCTAAACATATTAAATTATGTACTATTTCTTTATGCCCTGAGTATGCAGCTGTCATTAACGGTGTCCAACCAAATGGATCCACAATATTAACATTATTCTTACTAAAATGTTCTTGAACAAACTTTGAATCACCTCTTTCTACAGCTTTAAATAAAACGTTCACGTCAGTAATTATCGTTTTTTCCATTGGCTTTGATAAGATCTGTTTATCACTTTTTTGAAGAGTCGATTTGGGTTTTGAATTTTTCGTTTGACTTTCTAGAGATATAATTTCTTCATAAGCTATTTTAGCGTCATCTCCTTTGAAATCAAGATCATGCTTCAACTTTAAGTCATTGTTTGATGACAAATTTTCGTTTTTTTCTCGAACGAAATTTTTAAACGACACTTGTCCAAGTGCAAGCAAATAGTTATTTGTTGGAAGAGACATCGTAAATTGTCAATTCCCTAAAATTTACTTACGTTTTAATTTTTTTTCTTCCAGTAAGAACAAAACGTTGTCTTCTTTATTTGAAAAAAAACAGGTTAGGAGTTGAGAGACTTGTTTTAGACTTTAATCTACAACCACTTAGTTCATCGATAAAAATACTTTATGTCAACTACAATTATAATAACACTCTTAATTCTAAATTTTAGATTTGATAAATTTTAAGTATTATTTTGATGAATCTGTGCGATAATTATTCAGTGCTTTAGTGACAACTGACAGAAGCGACTGAAAAAGCAGACGACGCATTACAGGATGATGAAAACTGCGTGTAGTGAAGATGTCCGCGTGAATGTTTTCGCGGGAAAAAGTTTCAGATTTAAAATACATACATTTATATTTCAATTCTATTTTTCAATTAATAATCATTAAAATTCAAAATGTAACTTATTTTTATCCACAGTATTACGTTTCGTAATTGAATCGATAGTTTTAACTATTATTCTTCGGGGATCTTTGGCATCTTAACTCTGAAAACGCAACTTTTATGCAACTACTGTGAAATATCTATGTACAGGAACATTTTCAAGACGGTAATTTGAAATGAACTAGGGTACGTTTCTATAAAATCTATTTATTTTACATGTAGTTAATATGTATCATACATCGCTATAAACTATGGCAAATATAACTTTTTGCAAACACGAGGAATATAACGCAAGAAAAGGTGGAATCAACGGTCGTTAACGCGCTCGACCAACAAGTATACAACTTTTTCATTTGTCATTAGCGGCCGAATAAGCGGCTGCAGCTTCGTAACTCTGCTCGTCGTAAGTCGTCGCCGACGCCGAACCGTCCGGATCGTAGCCGTCCACGCCGTAGTGCTGCTCCTGCTGTCCCGCGACCTGCTGCTGCTGCTGCTGATCGTAATCGGCTTGGGCGTAATAGTCCGGATACTGGGCGGGATCGTAGTCGGCGTACTGCTCGTACTGCTGCGGATCGTAGTGCTGCTGATTGACGGCGTACTCGTCGCCGTAGGCCTCGGGCTGCGCCACGTAATCCAGAGGTATGTTCTCGTCCTCGAGGGCGACGTCGTCGCTGTGTATGGCGTACGGGTCGTCGTCGTCGTTGCTGATCACGTCCTTGGACGTGTCCTCCAGCGTAGTCGGGGCGGAAAATTGATGCTGCTGTCGCAAGTCCAGTTCCGATGCTTGATCGAGGTCCTGGTCGTTGTCGCCGGGATCGTTCGCGTCGTCCCGATCGTCGTCGTAGTTGTCGTCGACGCCGTCGCCATCGTCCTCCTCGATGCTATATAAACCCGACGGCGGAGTTTTCTCCTTGCTGAATACGTTGCTCGGCCGGCTGTGCTTGTGATGTTCTTCTAGTAGGTGTAAACAATAATCGACCAGTATTTGAGTAACGAGATTTGAACATTTTTCAATAGGAGGCTTTACCTGTTGTGCAATCCTCGATCTCTAACGACTCCTTCATTTTATTCGATAAATATTTTATGTTGCTTTGAAGATCGGCCATTTCTTTCCTAATGAAGCAAGATATACAATCGAATTTCCGTTAGAGATAAAAGTGATTCTAATTGCTTGATAATGAGTAACAAGAAAAATTTATCAAAAGATTATCATCAAAGCTACGACAGAATTAATTTGAAGACAAATCAAAAGTCAATGTTAGTTAAGCACAAACAGCTTACTTTATTCCAAAAGATTGTTAAGTATTAAAATAGAAAAAGGAAGGAAAAAAAAAGATAGTATATAAGAAAAATGCAGATACTGAGAGACTTTAATAAATTGTTGATAAAGATTTAAACTACTGGATTAGGCACCTTTGAGGGGGTATCCGATTGAGCCTGCAATAACTTCTTTTTCGGTATTACTTTAACTTTGAGATCGACCTTAACACGGCGCTTCTTTTGCGATGGCATCAAGGCAGCCGCATCATCGTCGTCTACTTGCTCGGTGACCCCCCCTGCTAATTACACATTTTATAGCTTAGCTATCGTACTCGGCTCTATTGTGTAGCTCTCGTTGACAATTCTTTCTTTTTCTTTAGACAACTACTTGGTAGGTGCACGAGAAAGGATGCGTTTGTTCTACAAGCTTATTTAAAATAGATCGAGAAATTATTTGTGCGAGATCGGTGCGATATTACATAGTTTTACGTCCAGCCGAAAGTTCATAGCGGTTTTTTAGCGTAAAATAAAAAGTAAAACGTATAAGAGTCTAAACGTCTTGGAAGAATCACGAATCGCCTGACTGCGAAAAGTTGCGATCGACTCGTCGTCAGGAGACTCGTTTCTTCTTCGTTTTCTTTAGTTTTAAATTAAACATTTTATAGTCCAAGTACTTGTGTTTCTGGTCGTTAGCTTCCAAGCGCTGTGTGAGAGATTGGCATTCGGCAGTCAGTCGCGTGACGAGCGATGCCTGTTTGCTCAACGAGTCTTCGAGTGTGGCGACCGTTTTAGCTATTCAATCAAATAGAGAGAAAAGAGAGACAAAACACGTCAGTTTCGATTCGAAACGTTTGGCCAAAAAAATTTGATACCTGCTGCTCGTGCGCTAGGCAGAGTGTCGGTTTTTATACATATGTATATAATTTTCTTTTGTTTTCGTGACAAAAAAATTCGTTCAAACAAGCCGATGTCTCACACCACGTATTGACATGTATATATATTTACAGATTTCATTATGTACAATTAAAAAAAGCTCAAGCAATTCAGTCGTTTTAAACTTTTACAACTCGCGTGTCGTATCGGATTACAGTATATTTATTCGAGTTCTTCAACAGTTTCGTAATTATACGTAAAAAAAAAAAGAAAAGAAAAAAAGGAACAAGGTCAACGGACAATGTACCTAACATACACAATACAGCCACATAATATAAACAAGTGTATACCGGAAATACGTATGCAAAATGGGTTAAACAGCCGGCGGTTATCGGTCACTCACCCTGTTTGCTCTCGAGATCGAGTATCAAGGAAGCCAACTCCTTGTCCTTGTCGCCGTTCTTGCTGGCGGGCTTGTCGACGACAGCCTTCAGGGGCTGGCCAGCGCCCACCCGAGTCTCGCCCATCAACTTACTCATGTTGATCTGCGAGCAGAGAGGAGAGCAAAGTGAGCTTCAAATTTTTCAATTGCCTCGATATTTGACTAACTTCTTTCTCGAGGGCGGCTATCTCCTCGGTCAGTCGGAGATTTTCGCGGCGCGCGTGCACGAGATCCGCGTCGGCACGCTCCAAACGGCCCTTGTACGAGTTGAGCTCGCCCTGCATGCGCGCCTGCTCCTGCTTGGCCTGCCTCTCGCTGCGCTCGGCCCGCAGCTGCGCGGCCGACAGCTCCTCCAGGGCGGCGTCCTTCTCGGCGAGAACCTGTCCGAGCTCCTCCTGCACTTTGGCTATAAAAGCGCGCCGTGAAAATAGTTGTTGTTGTCGTTCGTTTTCTTCGACAGTCACTCACCGGTTTTGTTGAAAAAGTCGGCTTTGAGCTCGTCGACGAGGGCAGCCTTCTGTATCAGCTGCTTCTTGAGCTCGGCGATGTCCCACCTCTGCTTCTCGGACTCGAGGTGGGACTTGCTGGCGGCCTCCCAGTGCGAGGCCATGTCCGCCGAGAGCTGCTCCATCTGCTGGCTGAACTTCCTCTCGGCCAGCTTCTTCTCCTCGATGCAGCGCCGATTGGTCTCGTGGAGGGCCTCCCTAAGCTTGTCCTGCCTGCGCTCGAGCTCGTCTCTGAGCCGTTTGACCTCGAGCTCGGCCTGGCTCTTGTCGATCTCGGCCTGCTGGGCCAGCTCCAAAGCCCGCCTGCTGCGCTGCTCCACCTCCACCTCGTGCGCCCTGATCCTCGCGAGCTCGCGCTGCAGCTCGTCCGCCCGGGAGTCGAGTTCGCGGCGCTCCCTCAGGGCCCGCTCGAGCTCCAGGTGTATCTGGGCGTCGTCGCCGCCCCGCTCGGCCAGCCTGCCGAGGTTGCGCTGGTTCTCCTCGCGGGCCTTGCGCAGCTCCAGCCGCGTCTGCGTCAGCTGCGCCTCGAGCTCGCTTATGCGCGACTCGAACACGATGCTCGGGCCCTCGAGCTGCTGTCCCAGCCGACCCGACGTCGACGAGGTCAATTTGGGCGAGAAGTCGTCGCGCTTCGTGAACTGATCGTCGAGGCAGCTGCTGCTCGTGGCATAACTGCCACCGCCGTCCAGCAGGATCGATTTCACCTGCAAGCTCGACGATTTGTTGTTCGACGCGCCGCTCTTGTCTTGCAGCGCCTCGTTTTCCGCGATCACCTGATTTTTACAATATATAAAATATCTTTATAAAATATCGACGCTTTCGGTATTACGCGTTATACCTCTTTGACTTTTTCCACGAGGTTCTTCAACTCCTCCCGACAGCAGTGCGACTCCCGCTCCAACTGCTCGATGTACTCCTCCTGCCTCTCGATGAAGGACGTCAGCTCGGCCGGCGCTGGTACGACGGCGTGCGATCTCGTCGACGGATACGAGTTGTACTTGGCGCCCCCGCGAACGGGCTGCAGAGTCATCACGGCGCTCTGGTCGGCCCGTTTCGACGCGGGCCCGTCGGTCGCCGGGACGAGACTCGTCAGGCTTTGCGCATCCGCTCCCGTCCCGTCGTCCAAGTACTCGTCTTGCTGCTGCTGATCGTCTCTGTAGTAGCGCTTTCCCGAGAGCATCGCGTTACTTTTAGACATGGATGAAGCATTCGTAATCAGCGTTAGATTGATTTTGCAAACGATAAAAAAAATTGAGGAGAGGAGAGAATCATTTTCATTACGAGTGCGACATTTTCGGGGCGTAGGATTCGGCCAGAAGATATTTGAGCTTGGCCACCGCCTCGCGATACGCCATTTCCGTGTGATTGGGATACTTTCTGCGGATCACGTCCATTCTGCTGCTCGTCGTCGATCGCCTGTTTCAACGAATAAAAGTACAGAAAAAAAGTATATAGAGAGCCAAGTTTTCGCGTTTCAAGCACTCCAGCTATAAATTCTTTGGCGGTGCACACAAGGCACACACACAGACAGTTTTCATATGCAGGCATGTGTATATATCTGTATAGGCACGTCGCCGTATAAAGTAAGAGAGAATCGAACAAACTTTTGCGGGCGGCCGCTCCGCAAGCTGAGCTTTTGCACACACACGGGAAGCCGAAACGATTTAGATGCGCAGATATATAACTATACGAGCGAGCTGAAACGGGACACGCTCGCGGGCCGCGCCGATCCCGACGAAGTAGCTGCAAGTGCACGCACACGCTAGAGCTTTCGAGCATTTTGCATAATGATACGGTGCTTCTTTCGCGATTCTATAACGCGTGTGCGGTACATCTTCGCTTTAAAGAGTCGAGTCGCTTTAAATAGCTTTTCAATCGTTTCTCTTTTTACGCTTAATGAAAGTAATAATTTTATTGGCGTCTGAAAATAGCACGATATCCTTTATTTTTGAGCTTTTTCGTCGTACGTGCTGCTAGCGCAAACTGTACCATTAATTTTACACGTAATTTTGTACGTATATAAAATACACACTGCCGCATGTCCAAGAACAAAAAGTTTCGACTTGTCACGAGGGTGAGCGAATGATTCACGCTAGTCCAAGAACAGCCGAGGCCCCGTATGCTATTATATACATCATTAAATATTCACATACGCGCGCTGGTGTCCTTATCGCCTCACGAGTGCGTTCAATACCTGCTACTACTACTACTACTACTACTACTACTACTGTGTGGGTGCGTAAAACTTACACTCTTATATACAAGTAAAGCACGTGTTTTTTTAAACAACTCGACGACAATTATTAAAATGAAATTTTTCACAGCGGCGAAGTAAATATAATTGCTATTCTTCGTACGCCCTCGGCACGTCGAAGCCGTCGATCGCGCGAGTCGAACGTGCAAGAAGATGAGATTATAGACCTTGGTACCTGGTCCTCGTGCGTCTGAAGCCGCCGCTACCAGGCGAGCAAAGCGCGAGGCCCGTTGACGAGACGGCGAGCTTGGAAGCCGGGCGGACGTGACCGGTGCACCTGCTGCTGCTGCTAATGCTTTTGTTACTGCCGCTCCGATTCGTGCAGCCACTGCCCGCGGACGGATTGTAAAAGAGTCGGCGTCTGCAGGCCGAATGCAGATTGGTCGGCGGCAGTAGTAGCTGCTGCCTGCCGCCTGTACTACTCGCCGGTCGCCGCGGACTCGTAAGTATGATCGGCGAAGATAGATAGGAGGCGGCGTGGGGCGATTGCACGGGCCGATGAACGCAGCAGCAGTTCCACCACCTCGACATCTCACCCTCGCGTTATAGACTGCCAGTCAGTCGGGCCGCGGAGGGTTCGAGCTTTATGCGAGACAACGAGCCTGCACACACACACACACACGTATTGTATATGTACACCTTCGAGCCTGCTACCAGCCAGAAAATCGATGGGCCGTAATATAAAGTCCAACTTGCGCCGTGTCTCTCTATATACAGCGCTTTAGCTAGCTAGCTAGCTAGCGTGGCAGCGGCATTTTACATCGCGCGTCGCGTGCCGTCCTGCGCTTTCGCGTGCGTGATCCGCGCGGGCACGCGAAACCGAATTGCGCATACGTACTTACGCGAGCTCTCGGAAGCACATCGCGGGCAGCGAAAGAATCGGGCACGCTTTCGTATACTTGCTTGTTCTTCCACGAGCTTTAATTCATAACACTTTGGAATCGTTGAAAACGATATTGCTATTTGCTACAGAGCCCCGACGTTTTCGCAACGCTTCCCTTACGAGATCTACCTGTTCGGTGTCGCTTTGCGTATTTACAAACATTCATAAGTACAGGTCTTGAAAGATTTATAAAATTTTATTTACAATTTATATTAATCATTTTCTTTCAAATACTGTACACGAGTATTTTTGGTATTTACATGGTAACGATTTCTTAACAGAGGCAATCATTTTTTGTCTGTTTTGTTTTTTCAAGCATTTGAGGCGATGTTATCATCTCGAGGAGTTTCTGCACCCTCGAGACTATTGTAGTTTTCATTAGATGAGTCGGTAGGTGTTTTTCTACAAAGAGTCATTACGAGTCCGAAAATCGCCGCTCCACCGCACACGTAGACTAATATGTTCTTGTAGTAATTACTGCAGTCACCGCTGGTACAATGCCTGAAAATAATCACATATCATTTTATAACATGAAATTTTATTGTAGTTTAAAAATCATTTAATTATAATTTTTTGAGCGATGCATAGGAACCAATTAAACAAGAGTTATATTTCATTTCTCCGTAAATATATGTGCGGGCACCAATGAACTAGTCTCAAATATCGGTACATATAGTGAAGGCATTTGTATTGATCAAACGAGTACTAGATTTTATCCTTATACGTGACGATAGATAGATATATTTATTGCGCTAATAAATAAAGTCATTAAAAGCCCGAAATATTGTGCAGTTATTTCTGTGTCAAAAAGGCTGTTGCAGTCCTTGACTTTCGATACAGACACGCAGAGCTTTTAATTACGATAACACGCAGTCTAGTTATAATGATTCTTTAAAAGCTATTGCCTTGAACTGCGATAGTATGTAATTAAATTTGTACGAAAAAAGTACTTTTTTATTTATCTAAAATCGTGTGTACTAGTAATTATTACTTTAAATTTTTGGGTTTAAAATTAGATCGGCATTGAACATTTTTTTCATCGTTGAAATAGAACGCTAAATTAAGCTTTGTTTCGGGAATCAAACATGATTCATTAATCGGACATTTTCGGGGGATAATAATTATTACTTAAATTACAGGTTGGAACAACTTACATATATTGGATAGCCATTACAGCAATACCGTTGGATAACTTATCTGCAAAACTCATAATTCCATAAACAAAAGCACCATTTTCTATACCTTGCCCAATATAATCTGCTGTTATTGCTAAACTGGTAACAAGCATCATGGAACCTCCACCACCTGAAATATTTTAAATTTTTCATTTGATTTTATTAAACTTTTACAATTTTTAAAAAGATATAATTACCCAATAATAGAGAGCAAGGATATATAAACAATGTTTTCAACTGTTCATATGGTACAAATAAAATTCCTGCACAAAAGCTTAATCCCATTAAAGCACCAATCAAATAAGCAATTTTTCTACCACATTTTTTATTGATCCATTGAATGGTGAATGAAGCTTTAAAACAACTCAAATACATTATCAATGGAATAATAGCTAAAGCTGTTCCAGGCATCTTCAGTGTTTCATGTAAATACAAAGGTACATATGTTTGAGTCAAATTTACAAACAATCGGGTTGGCATGTAAATTAATGCAACTTGATACAACTCTGGGTCTTTAAATAGAGCCAATGGTGATGGTATAGGTTGTGGTTCTTGAGAAGTATTATCTAAAAAGTGAATTACCATCAAATTAAGTTCTTGACAAATTTTTTATAAATAATTGAAGTATCATATCATACCTAATAGTCTGTTTAGTTTTTTTTCTTTCACACATACATGAAAGATAATGGTGAATAATAAACCAATACCCATACCAATAAGAACAATTTGTTGGAATTTATGTGCATCTTTAGGACCTATTTGTTGAAGTGTATCTTCACTAGTAACACGAAGAATTGCCCATGTTATTACGTACATTAGCACATTTGACAAGACTGTAAAACTATATCTAAACAAATATAAAATACATTTATTAATAAAAAATTCTCAAATTTAAAAAAAGATTTAAATAATAGTTACCGAATAGCTGTGAGATGAGTCCGCTCATCTCTCAATTTTGTTAGGTCTGGAATTAATGATAGGTGGGAAATTTGTACAGAGGCCCAACCAAATTGAAATATAATTACAAAAGCAGAATAGTATATAAGTTGTGCCCATTGATGAGATCCTTCACAGCCAAGGCATTGACTAAAAATGAATGGAAATGTTCCCAACACACAAATAGTTCCTAAAATTCAGTTTAATAAAAATAAAATCAATTAATTGCTTTATTTTCAAATAAAATAAAAAAGTATTACCAGTTAAATGCCAAGTTTTTCTTCTTCCATATCTACACAACCAGAAATCGTCATTCTTATCTGAATGCAAACCCACAAAAGGTGTTGCAAGTGCATCAGCGACTTGTCCAATAAGTAATATCACACCAGCATAGACAGGGCTAAATTCAAGTACAAGATGAAAATAAACGAGTAGATAAGTAAACCACATAGATGCACAAACGTCATTCAAAACGTGTCCGACTCCGTAAGCCACTTTAGATTTGTACGATAATCTAACATTATTTGCGCTAGATTCATCGGTATTTGCATCCTCGGTAGTATTGTCCATTTTAAAAGAATTTTTATCAATGCAAAATCAATTATCTGGATAAAAATAAAGATACAAGTTATCAAAACGTAAAATAAACAATGTGACAGCGATATCAATAGTAAATAGAGTAACAGGTGTCTGCTTGGGTCATTTAAAAAGCAAGCAGAGATCGAACTAACCTTTTCTTCTGGACACTTCAGCGCAGCATCCAAACTATCCAAATCTCATAAAGAGTCGCACTGATGCTCGTTTTAGAAAAATAATCATTAGTCAGCAGTATGTTATTATCTGCAGTTATATAGATCAGTTTGAACAAGTGTCATCGCTGCGAGTCCGTCAAATCAAAATAGCAGCTGCATTGTATGATGCACAACTTGTCATTTACTCATTCCATTTACATTAGTTCATGTCACACAGACACTGCAAAAACAGTCAATTTTACGATAAAGTGACCAGTGATTCTTCCTGCGTTAATCCATCAAATGAATTATCTTCTCGGATTAAAAAACCACATTTCTTCGCTCCTTTTATTAAATGGTTTTCAGATCAACATTCAAAAATTGAAAATCAAAATAATCAGAATTTTATTTTTTAAATAAGTACTAGAACTAGACCAATCGAAAGTTGTAAATAAATTAAATAAAAAATTTTCAATTCCATTTATGATGTATAGAAAAAAATTTATAAAAAATTCGAGTGCTTTAGATCTGTCTCTTAAAAAAAATTAATATTGATATAAATAAAGCATAGAGAAAATTTGATGTCATCTTGTAGGATCTATGAAATAATTTAAAAAATATGGAATGTATAATACAATTATATTTTTTTATCAATCATGAAGTAGAGTAAATGATCAAGTCTCTAAATACAACAAAAATTAACATTATCCTTACTCACTGTACAATATCTGGTGTCTGAACATGGTATTCATATTAAAAGATTACTTTTCACTTATATCTGAATGAACAATAAATTTTTCATGCACGGGTAAAGAACATAGATTCATTTAATCAATAGAAACTATGGTTTTTAAAAGTTTCATGGTAGATGGTTTGTCTAATACAATGTCATTAAAATGTTTTTATATATAATCTTATCTCTTAGACCCAGAATGAAAATTATTCTTTATAATTTCAAGAATTATAAGTTGATTGAAGTATTATAGATACATTCAGCAAAAGATAGAAGTACTTTGGTTATTTCATTACTCTTCTATCTCTGAACAACCAATTTCACAATGAAACTCGGTACACTTTTATTTTTTATACAAATCATTAGGGCTTAATCAAGTTTTAAGTAAATAAACTATTTGATGTATGCAAGTGAAAAGTTTTTTTCACTCTGAATAAATAATTTGATAAACTTTTATCCATGACACTCAACTTTCAACATTCAACTCTTAACAATTAAACAGCTAGCGATGATCTTGAATTAACATAAAACTGATAACCAGAAAACAAGAAAGTAAGCACATAAATGCAAGCAGCTATCCAGCAGTTGAAGGCATTTGCATCGTAACCACGCTTCATTTCTACATAAAATTGTGCTACGTCTAGGACTTCTTGTTCTTCCAGATGAATGTCTTCTATAAGAGCTACACTTCTGAAGAAGAAGAATATTCCCATCAAAGCCTGAAAGGAGAAAAAATGAAAGTTATTAAGATGAAATAGGGTCTTGACAAGTGAAGCAGAAGCTAAATATTCTTACAAGTTGTATGACACCCCAGGCTGAGATAACTAAACCGCACAAGGCATATTTAGGGCCGCAGACCTTCATCTTCGCTTAGGGATTCGTTTTGACACTAAAATTGAACGAAATTAATCGAAAATCTTAAAGTATTGACGAGAGAAACGCACGCCCACACGCACAACACTCGACCAGACGAACTTGTGACGATCAGCGGATCTAGTCATATGATCACAAATCGACCGTCGTAAAGCTGGCACTTAGCGCAAGGCAACAAGCAGCCTGCCTATCGAGCTTGCGCAGACAATTTCAGAGCGCTATCTATATATCTTGCTTTGTATATAGCTATATGTCTTATCAGGAGCGAATTGAAGTCGGTCGCCGAGTAATAATCATGTATCTCGAGTTGTGGTACATGCAGGAGCCGTCGAGCAAGACGGGCTCCTCCCTTCCATGCGAGTCGCGTCGCGCCGCGAGTTGCGCTCTGCAGCCGCCAAGAGTGCGCCGATCGCGCTCATTACACAGCTGCGTAGCGAAGCAGCATAATAATAATAACAATCCGAACGATTCGACTCCGAAAGACTTACTCATACACACGTTTATACGTCAGCAATGGGTTTTCTGTATGCACTTAGCGCATAGTAGAGTGTACGCTCCATAGGCGTATATGCATGATATATATGTAATATAGCATACATTAAGTGTACATAAGACGGTTGTGTGTGATTCATAAGTGTGCGCCTGGCGATGCTGATGGTGCTACGGCCGAGTACTACTACTGCTGCTTCCTGCTGTTGTTGTTAGCCTGCTGCCCTGTTGATTCATATTCATTTACTCGATTTCTTTTTAACATACATCCAGGATCATGGTCGATCGACTTGGTTAGTTCATTTTTGGATTAATTGCCCCCTATACGTTCTTGTTATTTCGGACCACGAGCTCTTGGCATTTCTAAAGACACGATTGTCTCTCTGCTGGTTATAGAAACATTGTACAGCTCGAACATTGTATTTCGTGCTATATACACTTTTTCGTCGGGAAGTGTCACACTCGAATGAACTATCGCATCTGCATAATAGTTTGACAGTTATCTTGCTTGTTTTACATATAATTTATATATTTTTTATCCTCCAAATGTGTAATCGATAATATTTAAGAGCTATTAGCAAATTTCAATGGTTGATTAAATAATTAATGTTTTTTTTAATTGCAGTAAACAGTGAGGCAAATGCCAGGAGAATTGCCATGGTGGAGAGCTGCTTTGGCAGTGCTGGTCAGGTAACTTTCAACAAATTCAAAATTTTGTATTACAATTTTCAATTACTCATGCTTTGTTGAATTAATTCAATGTTAATCAGCATTTTTAGTGCTACCATGTGCTTATGAATTTAAAAAGATAATAACAGTAGGTTGAAACTTTTTTTAGCCTCTCGCTGTGTCAGGAAGAGTCCTTGTTGGAGAAGGAGTTTTGACAAAAATGTGCAGAAAAAAACCTAAGGCTAGGCAGTTTTTCCTCTTTAATGATATACTGGTGTATGGCAATATTGTCATTAACAAAAAAAAGGTAATTGAGAAGAAGCATAACTGAGTTGAGTCTTCCAAATGAGTCATGCACTCTACCAACATTATCATACTTAGATTACAAACACTAAATCTTTTGTATATGTTTTCAGTACAATAAGCAACACATTATTCCATTAGAGCAAGTTAAACTTGAGTCATTAGCTGATGATGGACGTAAGTTAATATATAAGCGAAAACATAATTCATCAATAACAGAACATTTACTTTCAGAATATAGAAATGGATGGCTCATCAAAACAGTCACTAAGTCTTTTGCTGTATATGCAGCAACGGCTACAGAGAAACAAGAGTGGATGGCACACATTACAAAGTGTATTGAAGACTTACTGAGAAAAAGTAAAATTATTAAATATTTTAAATATAAAAAGATTGATTGATCGATTCTAACTGAATGCAATTTTTTTATAGGTGGCAAAAAACCAGTGGAAGTACATGCAGCAGTTTGGGTACCAGATAATGATGCAACAATCTGCATGCATTGCAAAAAGACTCAATTTACAGTTTTAAACAGAAGGGTATGTAATTGAAAATTTATTTTTGAAATTAGTAAGAAGTATTATATTTATTGGATGTGTATTTAAAAAAAATGATCATGACTTTCAGCACCACTGCAGACAATGTGGAGCTGTAGTTTGTGGCCCTTGCAGTAATAAAAAAATGATATTACCTGGACAAGGCAATGGAAAAGCTGTGAGAGTATGCTTACAATGTTTTGATGCTGCTAGCAAAGTAAAAGCTGGTACAAGATCACTGAATGATGACAATAAGGAGCGTAATTCTGCGGATAGTTCCGGAGGTGATAGTTCTGGTGATGATGATGATGCTGCCAATAAAGAGGAAAATCATGATGAGGTATGATTACCATTAAACTTTATCTAATTATCTAATTCAACAATATAATGATTAACTGTGTTTTGTTTCAGCCCAAATTCTATTCAAGTCTGGTTCAGTAAATTGTTTGATTAAAACAATACAAGTCCAGATGAACGCCACTAAAATTAAAAAAATTTTCTAGACATTTTTTCGTGAATCAGCGATACTGAACTGTTGCGAAATATCATTGATTGATATATCGAGATTTATGTACAAGAGTTGTTTATTTAAGTGACACTGTTTGTATAAAAGTCACTTGCCTATACTGTTGAAAATTAATTTTGCAAAGATTAATTAATTTTTATCAATTTAATATTTAATTAAGTTTTCAATGCATGAAAAAACAATGCATCATGTCTTGGAAATTGCCACTTTGTGCCTTTTTAAAATAAATTCTACACGAGTACTGATTTTGCAGTACAATCAGCATCTATTGTAGTGGAAATAATGAACCATTAATTATTTCTGGCTACTTACATAATCTACAAAGATCAAAATCTATTTTGATAACCAAATTTTTAAGTAATGTAAGAACTATTCTATTGCATGAAGCAAGACTTTATTCAATTAAGCAATAATGAAAATATACATTATATTACAACGAAAGACTACAGATAAATTGTTGGCCAATATATTTTTAATACTACTCAAGGACAAAGAAATGATAAATTTTTTAGTTTCATACTTGACACATCATTTATGATGCGAAAGATTTCAGAACTTTTGTAAAAATTTATTAAATTATGTAATTTTTAAATATTACGCATGCAATATCAATTAATGATAAAAATAAAATATTTTTATGGTTTTTCTTAAATAATGCACAGATATAAAAATAATACTATCTTTTAATACAATTAAATTTTGCATCAATTGTAAATACATATATATGATAGTTTTAATAAATCAAAATTTTCAAAATTTTACTTTGTTGTTTTTAATTCGTATAAAAATGATTTGTTTTTAACTATACAAAATTTATCATACGTGTTACATTACATGTAAAATTATATAAATAAATAACACTATATTATTAATTCTTCTCCCAGAGGCTCATTTTTTGTTACATCAGACAGTTGTATGGTATCATCGCGATGTTTTAGTAATTTTTTGTACCTTTCCACTAAATCACCAATAGAGCGTCTTCTATTAGGTTTTGGAGAACTTTTCTTTTGTTCCTTCACTTTGGGATCCATGGTTGAATTTAAATGAGGGTTCAACAATAATGGATCTTGTGACATCTCTTGACTTGAATTACACGAATCCATCAGTGATATGCAATGGGGTTTTGTTATGAATGGTAACATTGAATTTCCAGTACTTGACATCATCATCATGACACTGTTGTTCACTGTTTCACAGTAAAAGGTTTTTATAAGTATTTCACCATTTTTTTAATGAATTGTTAAAACAATTACCTCTGCTATCATTTGGTTTACGAGCAGAAAAAATGCGGGAATATTTTCCTACATTTTTGAAGTTTGATTTCAAAAGTTTAGAAGGTGTGTTGAATTTTTGTGATATTGAATATTTATCTGAGCTTGTATCATAAACATTAGATTCATCAAAATTGATTCGCTGAACTAAAAGAGGTTTTTTACAAGAAGAATAGATTCCTTTTGTTGTATTGTGTATGTGTCTTGAAAATAGTTCTCTATGTGCACCTAGGAAAAACATTCAATTTTGAGTTTAATAAAAAAAAGTAGTCTAAATAAATCTTTTACCTTCAATTGGAGTAAGTTTTAACTGATTTTGATATGTATTTCTTGGACCGTCAAAATAGCTGTTGATTTGAATTGATGGTGAAGGTAAAAACAGAACTTTATTTTGTAAAAATTCTGGCATTGTTGTATCAATGCCTTGAGAATCATCAAATATTTCTCCATTCTTGATACCACTGATAGAGAATGACTTGACTTGATCATGCAAGTTTTGGAAGTGATTGATAGCTACCTTTAAATCATGATTACTAACTTCTAATTGAACATTACACTTAGAATATTCTTTCAGATAAGAATCATTTAGAGTTAATCGATGTTTCATTATTAATGAAGTGAATACAGAAAAAAGGTTTTTTAAATTGAAACCATCTTTACAGTTCATATTGTACAACATCACCTAACACAAAATAATGAAGTAAAATAAGTTAATTAAATTATTCATTTTTAATATTCATATTTTGAATTGTACCTGTGCTTCTGGAGGTACCATTTCATAAACAGGTTCAACTTTGATTTTCTCAATTAACAGTCCATTTAATATTTGTGAATTGCCTGTTAAATTGGTGACAACATTGTTAATGCTTTTTAAAAATTCATCCAACTCTCTTAAAGATTGACTATCTTTTTCCAGCGTTGTTTTGATACTTTTATTGATGAAGCTAAGCCACACTAAAAAAAATTGATCTTTAATACATGGCTGAAACTGAATTAAGTAATACACTTACTTTCTATTATTTCATTATTTTTAACATCTAACAACTTTCTTTTAGCACTTTCATTCACTGGAGCCTTATTGATTACTTCCTTCAATTCTTCTTTTTTCCTCAAAGTTGCATCTTTTAAACAAGTCTGCCGTTGTTGCTGCTGACTGTTTTGATTAATAATGAATTAATAATGAAATTAATAATGAAATTATAACAAAAATGTTACAATGCAATTTACTTTTCATATTGTTCTTTATATACCTCTGAAAGTCTTTTGTTTCGTTTTGAATGTTTTCTCGTTCCTTTCGATAATTTGAGATTAAATCTTTATTCTGTTGTGCAACATTTTTCAAAAATGTTTTAGTTAATTCTGAGCATGGACCTGACTTTGGTGCAAAAGGAAGAACAGTATGGTGTTCTAAAAATGGTGTCATGATAATTGTAAGTACTGGATGAAAAATGTTTAAATTTATAAATGAAATACCTCTTTGTAAATATGTGCGCATGACTGCTAGAGAAAACTTCCACATAATCAATAAGAATTTACTACCTCTTGCCAGCAAGAGATGAGAGGCAAAAATGGGAGGAAAATTGAGATCAGGATTCTCACCCGAGATGACCATTAAACATTCTCTAACATCATTGCGAAATTTATTCTCAGTTTGTTTACAGATAACAGGCCACTGAACCTTACTTTTGGCATCTTTATAGAGCACTGTCAACAGGTAGTACGATACATGAATGAAGCCCAATGTGTTAGGCTTATCAAACATGCCCTGCATCAAACATAAATAAAAACAATTTTAGAGACAATTTTAAAATAGAAAAGAGAAGAAAATAAGAACAGTAGTCAAAACCTCTTTGAAATGTTTTTTAAATTCATCATGGGGTGCGACCAACTCTGCAAGTAAGGCGACATTTCGATGAAACTCTTGGGCCACCCGGTCCATTACAACGATTAATATTTGTGCCAAAATCCCACGCGAATTGTGAACAATTGACTTTTCGGGTTACTTTATTTCATCAGCATTTACGAATTCGTCCAGTAAAGCACCGTGCGGCTTAGAAATAACAACAAGGTACAAGGGCGAGCATGCTCTACATAATGTTTTTATTATGCGCAGGTTATATCATACGCGCAGTACCCAGAAGCACAACAAATATGATTCGAATGACAGTTGCGGCTTGCGGGCCGGCGGCTTCTTTCGGAGGGGGTAGTGCTGCACGCTAGCGCCACGATCCCCGGCCAGTTGGTCGGATATTAGCGAAATTCAGTATCAACAAGGAGGCTAAATGAGCGTCGGACCAATAGCGGGCGACCGCCAAAAAATTTCTGCCAGGCGATACGATACGCGCTTTAGCAAGGCTCAACAAAGCTCACTAGTCATCCTATTCTATATATGCAGGAATATTTGCACTATTGTCATCGGATAAATTCATAATTCAAGAAGCTATGAATTTCCGTCTTCAAACAGTTTATTGTTGTAAACAATCGCCAATTTCACGAGTATAAATGGCCGATGAAGGTACAGTTTAAAAAAAGTAAAAAAGCACTTTTATTATTGGTATTTAAAATATTTCGATAGTTTTATCTTTGAGAGCTCGTTGAAGGCGATCCTCGAAGCCATTCAATCCTCGTATGCGTCAAGTCAACTCTTGAGAATTGGTGGACATTGAAGCCGAAGTTTTGTCGTAGATCGTTAGCGGCCGTACTCGCGGTGATGCAAAACTTGCACCAACCGGTAAAGTGACGTTGCAACGGTGCCGTCTTATGTGGTGAGTTGCTTATATTATCATCATCATGTCACTGTGAAATACACAGTTTCTTTTTCTTTTCCAAAAGTGAGGAGGGAAAATTTCTGAACATTGTTAAGGGTGTAGCGAGGACAGGGTAATAATGATAAAAATGTTGTTAACTCTAGTTGAAAAAAATAATCTATAATAATACTAAATAATGCACTGGGAAATATTAGTTATTTTTTCACCGCTGAAGTATGTTATAAGCTCTTGAATAACCACGTCTTACATCACATGCATGCTGAAAAAAGTGATGGGAGTAAGTAAAATTGACAACGTTATCAAGATTATTTGTGATTGTTAATATTTTAATGTATTTTATTTATTGATTCTCAGGTCTTACACACTCTTTGATATAGCTTATATAATAAGTATTAGGTTCATACATCATATTCACTTTATGTAAATAATCTAATACAATTTAGGTAATTTAGGTTTTAATTGTTATTATCATCTATAGTATCGATAAAATTGAAATTTTAAAATTTTCTTCGTCTACTCTTTTGATTGATCGTATGCGCCTCATACATTTAACCGCATTTGGCAACATGAGATTAAACGGTAATATCGTTAATTTTCGCTCACAATATTTTTATTTAGTAATAAGGGTAATAATTTAGCATGATTACCGCTAAGTTCCTTTTTTTCTTATCGGGAAAAATTTAAATAATACTTATGCACGAGAACCATCGTAAGGAAAAATCCTCACAAATTGTCTCAGCTTACAAAGAGATTGGTCGTTTAGGAATTGTACACTAGCGGTTACGCATGAAAATTTTTGGATATTCATTTCTTTTCTCTATCTTAAAAAATGATTTTCTATGAAGTTCAGTTAAGTTTGTAGAGAATTGAAAATAACTTTAATATGATCACTTCACAGATGAAAAGGATACTTTCATATTTATATTCTATGAATTAGATTATTTTTTTTAACGATAGCAACAGTGAAGAGGAGTTTTTTAATTGTTCTCCTGATATCGTGTCAAAAATATCGCAAGATAAAAAGTTACGTGCGAGTTATTAAGTTCTTCAGTTAATATACGTATATATTCGTCCATTACAGAGTACAGAATGAGTAAATCCATGATAGTATGATGGTGAATTTTTTTACTGTTTCCACATTATTATATATCATAATTATTAATGCAATAATGTTATAATTTTTTGCTGAAGGATGAAATTGTACATAGGGAGAGGAGCGGTATTTTAGAAGGTAGTCTAGAAGATGGAGAGAGATAATTCGGCTCAATCTCCACTTTAAAAGTGTCACAGCACCGTGAGACAACTTCATAACGAACTCGTTTTTTTTGTTTACGAATCCGATACAAGAACAGCATAATAAATTATGAGTGATTATTGATATAAATTTTCACGCATCATGTATGCGTAATAAAAAAAAAACGGTATTTGATTACTTTATACAGTTCTTCTGCACATTGGCATCGATTAATAGTAAATTTTATAATATTATTCGTAGTGATATTAAATCCTTATTTTCGTATATATAAAGTATACATCTAGTCCAGAGTATAGACGCAAAAGTAAAGTAACACGACGAGATATTGAACGATACAACTATATCGTATCATTCAATAACTTCGTTTATAAATATTTTCATTCGTAAAAATGACTACTCGTTATACTGGGATCCTGCCAGATCGAACGAATAATTATAATCATTTTCATTAAGTTAATAACAATTCATCATAGGAATTATGAAATAGACATAACTACTAATTTATAAATCTATAAAATTCTTAATAAACGCAACATTTACATGGTTCTTGAAAAAAATAATACACGCAACAAAAATATCGATGAATAAGCTGCCAACTATTCTGCAGTTAATGAACGGTTTTCTTAATTATGAGGAAATATTTTTTTCTTGCACACCAAACGTCTACTTGGAAGACTGAGTTCATTTTTTATTCTTTGTTTAGTCAAGATAAATATCGGTAATCAAAGAAAAAGATACGGGACAGGCGATGTTAAAAATTGAAACCCGTTCACATGGATCGGTCTTTATTGGTCATACAATTATTAAGCTCGAAAAATTCTCATTTCCACATCATTCTATAGGGAATAAAATACCGAATGAAACATTTTCATAATTAAAAAGAGTTAAAGAAGAAAAATTACGAGGAATTTAAACCATCATAAAAATTAATGCTATTATTATTTGCATTCATACGAGTATCGATATTTTGGCAAGAACAAATTTCTGGCATTCCTTTATAAAAGATATTCTTAATTTTAAAATCAACATAGTAATATTTAAATGTTAACTAGCTACCAAACACACCATATGTTTCATTGATAGATTTATTTCATATTTTTTATCAACTTTTTGTAAGGAATGACTAATGCTCTAAAAATAGTTTCTAGAACGTGAAAACTGATAGTTTTGAAGTAAATATCAATATTTTATACATTTATAGTTGAACTCATTGTTGAATTGTAAAACGGTAGAAAAATATTCGTCAGTCCGATTTGTTGTCACTTTGAACATCAGTCGGAAAAGTTACAAAGATTTTCAAGTATACTGCTATTAAAAAGGTATCTATTCGTCATCCATAATAACCCATCGATGTATGTCTACGCATAGTATAGATCGAGTGTGTGAGATAATAAGATTGTGAGTTATTTTAGACACTGAATAGACACTCTTTTATTTATTAATTATCGACTTGAATCAGGATTATAGTCAGTTTTTGAATTTCATTTACAATTTTCAAAACACTCAAGTTTTTGATTTGTGTTGAACATGTATAATATAATATAAGATATTACTTTTACATCTCAAGAGGCATAAATAAAATAAATTAATTATTATTTCATCTTTCTGTCTTTTTATAGCATTGATTATAATTTAAAGATAATTTATACAGCTGATAATCAATTAAAATTTGACGCAATTTACACGTCATGTTTTGCGCAGAGTTTTTCATTTTAGTAACAGTTGATATAAATTTTTCCAAATTATATTTCATGTTTTCATGTTATTTTATGTAAAAAATAGCATTACAATATAATAGCATAGATGAGAAAAAATTTACAGGATTGTCAAATGTTATCCAAACAGACTGGCACCGACCACAATGTATCATTTTGCATTATTTCAATGCTCAAAAAAATACTAATATGTTCTTTCGGGCATAGAAAGTCATTCTTCATTGTTCTACACAAAAAAAGGTTGGTTAGGCAGCCATACTTATTGTTTAAATGCTGCATTCTGTTTGGTTTGGAGCATAGCACGCAGCGAGCAAGTTATGCATCAGTTATGAATATATTAATGCGCATATATAGTAACACAGTTTGCTTACTGTCGGCATCGTTGTGCTCCCAAAACCGCGAGTCTGTACTGCCGCATCTAAAGGACACTAATGCTCAACTGGAAAGTGTGGCTACCTAATCAATTTTTTCCCCGTGTAATTATGTACAAATCGATCGGTCATACAAATGCATATCGATCGACCGCACTTGAATTTGACGCGACGGATCAACAAGACGGCGTTTTACAACGTAAGTGTTCAATTAGTTGTTCTTTACGGTGCATAATTTTAGTAATCCGACTTCCCCAGAACGTATAAAATGTATATTTTTTACTCAACTATTCTTTTTATCTCAACCATCGTAGTAAGTTCGTTTAAACTTAAACTATTGAGTTCATATCAGCAATGTGATTCGACGAAATCTCTATGAAATTTTCTAAATAGATACTTCATGGCACAAAGCACGGATTTCTCGAATGTTCAAATATTTTGAGTTACTTTATTAACTACCGTGACAAGAAAACTTTGCTTAATTATTTTTAATTTTATGTACCAAATACATAAATAAATACCCTGGAAGCCAGTTATAATTAATGTATCGGTCAAATATCGATAATCTCAGTAATAGCATAAAGTTTCAGAGAAGATCATGTGTATATGTTCCAACGAAAATGATAAAATTATTATAATAAAACAATGGCAACCAAAAATGATGCGAGATCAATTAAGACACTTCTTTCCTTCAATACCACTATTTTTCTACTTCTGAACGACATTTCATGTAAATATCTATGAATTTCATCATTCAATGCTCTCATATCTTTGTGAAAAATGATTTTCGAATTTAGATTTTTAATAACTAGCAATAATTTTCAAATACTCGACATCGGTATCATCATTTTTCTCAATGTATTGAATAACACCCCAATGGAAATATCAAAATATATGTAGTAGTTGAAAACTGTTATTATATAATTAAAATAACTACAAAGGGTTTTTCATAAAATTTTTTTTAATCTTTCCCTTCTGTTTTAAAATGAAGGAGCGCGACCAGCGTCCGTTCAAACAAGTATGTTAACTTTCTTATTGTCTAAAATAATTACGAGAAATAATTAGCTACGAAGTTCAACCATCGAGATACATTCATAAAGATAACAAAATGTTCGATAGAAATATTTTTTACAGATACTATTGCATATGTACATAATTATGTACTTAATATATAAAGCTAGTTTATCAAATAGACACATTTGATACATTTTTCCATTCACTCGATTCAATTTAACTTTGGAAGGCGACAGTAGAATCTACTGAAGTAAATGCATTTACATCTATAATTATAATGTAGTTTGTAAATGTACGCGAGAAACGAACAACAATTCGCAATATACTTTTTTACACTCATTCTAGATCGCATGTAAAATAGCTAATGATCTATTCTCATTATACTCAATTTCAGAAGAGAACATTTCATATGGCAAGTTTATTGCGCATCAAACCCTTAACCTTCCTTTGCATAGATTCATATTTTAACTAATTATTGGCATTGCGTTTATGAAAGCATACGTGTCAATTCTTAAATGTTGAATTATTAGTGATACTTACGCGATATTTCATGCCGCGCGTTTACTTTTAATGATTTTTTTTCTGTTTTTACACCAATCAAAGAGCATCGCTGCAAACAATTTATGATACTTTAATCGTAAGTGCGCTAGGCGCCACGGAAAGAATAATAGATTAGATTTCGATATACCAAACATTTTCATTATTTGCTATAGATCATAATTATGTTTATAATTTACGAACAGTTTGCAAGAGGTGAATCTTTGAAAGTCGCTTATAGTTATTACTTATAAATACAATTCGAAGAAAGAGAATTATATATAGAAAAATATTGTATCTCTGTTTTTAATCATTTGTCAATCTTCGCAGAGATACGATCATACTGAAAGTCTGGTGATCTTTGTTTAGTTTAAAACGCCTCCACGGATGAACTCACTCTATCGGTGTTCATAATCGTGTAAAGTATTATCCATGAAGCAACGAATATTACAATACGGAGAAAAAAAACATCGGTCAATAAATCCATAGAATTGCAAGAGTTGAGTCAAGGGCACTCATCTTATATGTGCTGGATGTACTCGGGATTAAGAAAAGAGAATCCCATGAACTCCGTCTGATCGAGATTCATCATGAAAAGCTTGTCGGTCGGCGTAAGATCTGTCTTCTCCGATGTGAATTGCTTGTCGAAGTTGCTCACATCTCTTCGGTGTTTCTGAAAATCGATTGAATTTGTGTCATGTTTTCTGGTACAAATGGGTATCTGTATCAATCTTAACATTGACATGTAAATGTAGCCATTCAGGGCGGAACTTGAATGGACAATTTTTCGTCAAATAAGATATTTAATGCGATTTGATTTTAGTATAAGAATAATAAGGCCAGAGAAAAATTAAATAAACTCACAATTTTGGGTTTGAACGGTGGCTGAACCTCACGACTTTCAATTCTGTCCCAATCAATTCGTCGGAAGAAAGCATGGCTGCGCACGTCCTCTTCACCTCTTGATCCGCATCCCAAACGTTTACTTGGATTTTTCGTGAGAAACTGTAAATGAGAAGAATTTTGGTGTTTAAAAGATCACGCAACGTGCTCACATATTTCTTTGATGCGGTAAAGAGATTCACCCCCAGGCGCTCATTATTTATCCGAACTCATGAATTTATATAGTAATCTTTCGCGCGTATAGTGCACGAACTTTCATGAAAACGTATTTAAAAAAATGGAGAGCTGAATAAAAAAAGGACCTTGAAGCACGAAGAGAGTCGAGAGCATAAACAAGAAGCGCGCATAAAAGGGTACATTGTACACGAGCAATATTTATATACTCACTCCTTTGCAAGCTTCTTTGGCCTCCTTGGAGAGAGCTTTCGGATAACTGACATTCTGGTCGGTAATGGCAGCAAAAAGCTCTTCCTCGTCCTCGCCATCAAAAGGCGGCTGTCCGACCAGCATCTCGTATAATAATACGCCGTATGCCCACCAATCGACCGATTTACCGTAAGGTTGATATAAGATAATCTGTAAAAGTTTCGCCAGTATGTTAAAATGAAGACATTTATAAGATGTTTGATGCCATAGTTTCTGTCATTGGATTTCGATTACTTTTGATCAATAAGATTTATTCCTTCTATAAATTTTCATATTGTAAGATTAATGGTGCTTATTTTTATACTTTTTCGATTATCTTCAAAAAGCAATTTTCATAAAAATTCAAATCTCAAATATAACTCCATTTACGTAGATATTGGAGTTAATATGCGCCAATTAGGTATATTGCCCGATCAAAGCTTTGTCTTTGAGGTTTGCTGTATAGAGCGCGATTCATTGGACTGCACTCGTTTGAACGAAAATTCATCTAGGTATATATTTATGTATATGGTTGATTCTCTTTTAAATTTAAAAAATTGAAATTTTTTCCAGTTACGTTTTTTTTTTGTTATTTGAAAATCAGTTTTACATAGATTTACAATAATAATTAAAAAAATAAACACACTGGGCACTTGGCTTATCGTGTTTGACGTGATGCAGTTCATATATCGACTCATGAATGTTTTTGTCTCACCTCCGGCGCGATATAATCCGGAGTTCCGCAGAAAGTTTTGGTGGTTTTGTCGCCAGTTATGCCCTCCTTGCACATGCCAAAGTCGGCGATTTTGATGTGGCCATCCTGATCCAGCAGGACGTTGTCAAGTTTGAGATCACGATAGACTATTCCTCGCGAATGCAAGAAAAACAGACCAATCGCTATTTCCGACGAATAGAATCTGCCGAGGCAAGCAGAAAATTCAAGAGAAAATATTCGAATGTTTTAGCTAAGTAAATACATCGCGTAAAAGAGAGAAATAAACTCGAGTAACTTACACTGCTACGGGCTCTTTGAATTTTCCACACTGTTGAATTTGGAACATAAGGTCACCCCCGTTCACGTACTCCATCACGAAGTACAAACGATCCTAAAGATATTTCAGAGTTTATCAAATTGATACGATTCTCATGGTCAAAAATCAAAAATATTGTCGAGAGATCGAGATGCTCTAACTGAATGAGCTATAGCGACTAACCATAGTTTGGAAGCAAGAGTGAAGTCGTACAAGGAAAGGCGGCTTGCTCGAGAGCGCCAGTACTCGCTTCTCCACCATAGTGCACTCGACGTCGTCGTCTTGGATGATTATGTCCTTCTTGAGGATCTTGATCGCGTAGAGCTCGTCCGTGCCTTTTCTCTCGGCCAATAAAACCTGAGAAAAAAACGATTTTTTCACTCGAGATTTCAAGGCAAAGTTGGGCTCGATTGTATACGCTCTCTCAATGCTTCACCTTGCCGAAACTGCCTTTGCCGAGAACTTGCAAAAAGTTGAAATCCGATGCTCGTATGAGATCGCTTTTGCCCATGTTGTGTGGCACCTCTTTGTCCTGCGTCGTCGGGACTTTTTTCTGGACCGATGCTGATTTCTGCGGGAGGAGCAGCATAAAACGTTTGCCAATGATTTTGTTCCATTTCCGTCGACAATGGTGATATTTTTACATTAAATAATTTCAAAATAACGACTTGCACATGTATACGCATGGCATTATTTACAGAGGATAATACCCAGAGAAAAGCATTATTCTACTCCTCGGGAAATAATGTAATTTATAATCCAATACTCTCGCGACTTTAGCACGTATGGGAGCGTCAAAGAAAAGTACACAATTTCTGGGTCACTAAATTGTATTAAACCCCCTCAACGGGCAATGTTTTCTCATATCAAATAATCGCGTGCTTGTCTTCGAGCTTTTCTGTGAGCGAGCACATGCCCTCGCGCTCGCACAAATACACAAACAACTATATTGTCACCCGCACTTCGGTCCGATTTCGACCTGGTTTTGTACTTGACAATATATCATGTACACGTATCCATTACGTATCTCTCTTTCGTCCATACTAAAACGAGCATGTTAGCAAATTTGACGTATTAATGAACAAAAAAATTAATTGAAATATTTTCTCATTTGTGAGCGATCGATCATTCCAGAAAATGTGTACCCTTCTGTATTTTCAATTTCATAAAGGGGAAAGCGAGAAATTGAAACGATTAAATTACGTAAATTAGAATCTAGACGATAATTTAACATATTTAAGTATTGATTAAATTTTCTCTAGTATTGATTCAACAGCGAATCGACCATTAAGTAGTAGAAAAATGTTAATAATTGACAAACATTTATTATATCACCACAAAATAAGTTAAAAAAATTTGAATGACATAATTTTCGGTATATTTACATAGCTCCAAATCGTTATTGGTATTCATTTTATGAAATAATGTGCGTAATTTTGTTTAGATAGTGCATGTTTTAGTGGTTAAATGTTTCAAATTTAGGGCTCGATAAACTAGTATTACAAAGTTATAATTAAATGTATCTTTTACAAAGATCAAACAGAAGTAATGTTGGCGGAACGTGATTCGTTTCAAATTTACTGGTGAATAACAACGATTACGCCCACAAATAATTGAAAAAGCATGGAAAAAGCAATCAAGAGTAAGTAAAAATATGTACAGTATCGTTTGAAAAGTATCGCATATTTGCAAAAAAATATTCGTTTAAAAAGTTGTTCTAGCGGAAAAAGATCGTTTTTTTTTTTTTTTTTTGTAAAATGTACATAAATTGATCGTGAAAAAAAGGAAGCGTTACAATGCTACAGCAAATAATTTACACGTAACTCTAGCAATATACATTTACATTTATATTTATTTGTCTTTCTACACGATACAATTGCTTTGGGTGGAAAAAGGTCTGTAAATTGATCGTCACCTGATCGTACAAAATGAACATCACACGAGCACAACCGAGAGAAATCGCCGCGGCGACGTGTGTCGAGTGTGCGATGTATATATGTGGATGGCGATTTGAATTGTTTTGGTGCGAGGTAAAAAAGCAAACTAGCTTACATACCGAACGTACCCGCATTTTCGACTTTAGCTCGGCTAAGTCGACGCCCTCCTCGGGCACGGGTACATTGTAGAATTCGCCCTCCTCCTGGGTGAGCAGCTTGAACCAGCCCGTGGCCGGGGCCTTCATCAGCTCCGAGATGCCGAACGACAGCGAGCCCATGAAGTCGTTTCTCGATGTTCTGTCCCAATCCCAAACCTCCAGCAGCAGTCGTCTGTCCTTGTCGTCGGGCTTCAAATCGCTGCGGGCACACGAGGGATGTTTGGTGAAAAGAGTTAAACAAAACTGCTATGTATCACATGCTGTCGCGGTAACGAGTCAAGGCTGTCCCTTCAGGGTTGTTGTAAATATTTTACAAACTCCGACGAGCTTTTTAATGCCCACGGAATTGACTCGCGGGCGTTAACAATTTAGATTTTACTTTTTCCCCCTTAAATGTTTGAAAAACAGTTGTACGTTTTCAAAGGTTTATAATTAGGTAGAAACATATTCGTTAAAAATAGAACTTTATAATAATCTTCTCGCTTGGAACCTAATATATATGATTTCATTTTATTTTTGAAAATGGCCTACGTAACTCATCATCGCTACGAATGTTCCAAATATTCTGGTGTACGATTCACCAATTAAACGCTAAAGATCTAAGAAGATTACAAATTAACTACTCGCGAAGATTTGTAGCGTCGAATGCATAAATATCTACTTAGACAATTCAGTGCTATTATAAATAATATTAATTGCACATAAGTAAGTCGGCTGCGGCTCGAGAATAAAAATTTAATTTCATTGAATATTTTCGTTTGCCACTTGAAGTGGAAGTGAAATTTAAGTATTTGGTGTATTTCGGTGCTATGCAAATCTCATGTAATACTTACACAATGATTGTCTCGTTCCACTCGGGATTCAGCGACGATTTGATTGTCTTCGTCTTCTTTTTTATATTTTCGCCGTCCGGTATTAGTTTTAACTTGACGTAAGGATCCGAGAGTCCATTTGGATCCATGGGAATGAGATTTCTTCCTTGTATAACTGTGCGTAAGAGACGTCGCGAAAAAAAGAAGAAAATATGAGAAATAAAGGTCACTGGCGCACATGTATACTTAAAGAAACAGAAAGAAGATATACTTTCGACTGTGAGCTTGTTTCCACTGGCCGAGACGTTGAGTTGTATGCGTCCTCTTCTTTCGGTGTGATCGCATCCGCAGAGATTCGGTACGCTCGCCTCGCATCGTTTGTGTACGTTCATGTCGCATGCTATGGTTAGGTGAATACAGATAGAAATTGTTTCATAAAAGAATGCAAAAACCATCGATAGTTTGAAGCGTCTGATACACAATACGCGATTATATTTTGATACGTATTTCAGATATTAATTAGCCTGTCAGTAGCTAAAAAAAAATAGTACAAGCTAAATGCAAGTTTCTAAGGCTCTTAACCCATTAGCGCCCAGCCGGACACTTTTTTCAACTGAACTTTAGGCAAAAATCTTTACTATTCAGAATTTTGCTAAAAATTAACGAGTTCATGTATCTAACGGGAAATTTAATGCCCTTTTCGAATATGGCTTCAAAATTAATCTTAAAATTATTGTTCAAAAGTTATAAACAATTGAACAAAAAAAAACACGAATTGAAAAAAAAAAATTGTCTTCAACTCGAATTTTAAAACAGAAACAGGCTTGATACTTAGGTCCCGAGCACATTAAAGGTGTCCATGGGATGTAAACTGAAAATCCCAATATCCATAATATCGGAATTGGACATTTTTCATAAAAAAATGGCGCTTCGTAGAAAAAAGACCGTATATGAGCTAAACCAATTTTTTTACATGACAAGGATGCATTTAGGAAAAAAAGTTATATTGTAAAAGTTCTTAGAATTGTTCAAAGAACAACCCTGAATTTTTTCAGAATTTTTGGTGAAAATTTTTGAATTTTCGGAAAATGATGAAATCCAAAAAATCCAAAATTATTCGAAAAATTCAAAAATTTTCACCAAAAATTCTGAAAAAATTCAGGGTTGTTCTTTGAACAATTCTAAGAACTTTTTCAATATAACTTTTTTTCCTAAATGCATCCTTGTCATGTAAAAAAATTGGTTTAGCTCATATACGGTCTTTTTTCTACGAAGCGCCATTTTTTTATGAAAAATGTCCAATTCCGATATTATGGATATTGGGATTTTCAGTTTACATCCCATGGACACCTTTAATGTGCTCGGGACCTAAGTATCAAGCCTGTTTCTGTTTTAAAATTCGAGTTGAAGACAATTTTTTTTTTTTAAATCGTGTTTTTTTTTGTTCAATTGTTTATAACTTTTGAACAATAATTTTAAGATTAATTTTGAAGCCATATTCGAAAAGGGCATTAAATTTCCCGTTAGATACATGAACTCGTTAATTTTTAGCAAAATTCTGAATAGTAAAGATTTTTGCCTAAAGTTCAGTTGAAAAAAGTGTCCGGCTGGGCGCTAATGGGTTAAGTGCTTTATTAGGTAGTTAGTTTTTATGTATATGCTTCAATTATTACAGTTAACTTAATGATATTTTGAAAGTTTATTTTTTATATTTATTTTAGTATCTTTTGACAAAATAATAATAAAACATATAAAAGAAAATCATTAGTGCCCACATTAGTATAAACTTTCAATGTGGCATGTATATCAAAAGTACTGTACAAAATTCTTGGATGTATTATTTTTAGTACATCATTTTATTGGCATAAAAGCAGGAAAAAGTACTTACTAATAAATTTGTAACTATCAACAGTAGTGAAAAGTTTTACACACAAATTGGTGAGTAATTTTTTGAGAAACATCACTTATCAACGAAAATCATTACATGCAAGAAATCCAATCGATGGTTTTGTACAAATAGAAAAACTGAAAAACAATTGTTTTCGTAAATCAAACTGGGAATTCAGAAGGACAAATTGTAAACATCAAAATCCAAAATAGAAGATGTATAACGTATAGTGAAAGCGTTCCATAAAAGAGGAGAAACGGTCGGGAAATAGTTTAAAGAATTGGTTTAAAAAAATTAAAAAAGAGCTCAAGCAGTTTCAAGGGGTATTACAAACATGAGATTGGTAAACTGATAAATTCAGGTTTGTTTCAAGATTTTAAAAGTACAATCAATGGTTAGTAAAGTTTTACACAAAAATATAAATTTTCCACTGCAGTCGTGAACTTTTGATAACATAGTTGTACTTGTGGCGTTTCGAGAAAATTCTCAAAAAATAATTAAATTGAGGAAGAATCGAAAAAGGTTCTACCGTACCATTATTCAAGGATTTTTACTCAAACACAATAAAAATATGTTACAGCTTGAAAGTTAGAAAATTGAAATTAAAAATTCAGATACTGAAAGGTGAAGATATAGTTTTTGAAGCTAGAGCTGCGCACAGGTAGTTGATTAATTTTCTTACGCAGCTTCGAAAAACGTCGTATAAGAATTGCACCGGAATGAATCGAGCTTAAAGAGTATGGGAAAAAGGCGCGTAGCGCGTTTTCATTTCGTCATGATTAATTAGATTTTCGTACGTTTCAAGCCACAAAAATGTTGAACTCGTACGCGCTCGTATGCTCATTTAGTAATGAAAGCAAATTTATACTTTATTTTTAGTGAGAAATTTCGTCTGTACAGGCAGTTTAATGTAATTATGAAGTACTTAGCATGCATATCAAGCTCAAGGGACATGAACATTAAAAGAATATTACTCTCCAGTAGTAATCTTGAATCCATGAAATGGAAAGTTCAGAATCGATGGTAACAAAAGTAATTTAATTGGAATAAAACATACTCGTTTCATTGGAAAATTGAAAATATAGGCAGGTACAGGTACATGACAATAAGATTTGGCTCTGCTGGTGCATCGTGGAATCGATAAAAATATATCTTGTTAAATATACACATATACATACATAGATAGAAAGAGTAGATATATATATATAGATATAAAAAGCTTATATGGATAATAAGCGCATAGGTAGAACCTCGACGGGTAAGTCGGATTTAATGGAAAAACAGGTCGTGCATAAAGCTAATACGACGGAAAATCGTCTTCACCGCGTAGATATATGCGGGATTGGTCGGGGGAGATTTTTGAAATTTCTCTTTCCATAGAAGGGACTTCCCAGAAATGAGAAAATTCCAGAGATGCATTCCTGGCTATTTTGAAAAACAGACAATCTATGTCTTACTTCATTAACTATTTAGACCAAATTATCCTACATATATAAATAGTATGCGTATGAATATACGTCGCCAGGGAGGAGCTTTTGTCATCACATGATCGAATTTCTGAACGTGATTCGTGCGCAGCAGCACACATCCTGCAGTCGAGCCCAATTTCCTCTTTACTTTAGAAACTAAATCGTGCAGGGAGATAATGAATACTTGATTCGATTGATATTTCATATGTAATGCCCTAATTTGGAATGATGTCAAAGGAATGCGTTCTGCAAGTTTTACATGTTTGGGCGACATCTTGCATGTGTATCAAAACAAGACAATTTAACACTTGAAGTGAATTACAGGTATTTTAGAAGAATTTCAAAGGGAAATTATCTCAACTTGTGATTGTAAAACTTTGTGTCATACCATATACTGTTAATTTTTAGATAGAGAGTAGCACCGAAACCAAGTTATTTACGTACTGTGTCTGATTCTAGCAATACTAGCCTATTTTTAAATCTAATATCTAATATTTATGTATAAATAATGTTGCTCTTTTGGTGCTATTTAATGTTTTATAATCAATGTATACCTGAACACTTGAGTCCCTGTTGGGTGATGCCGTGAAGCATCGATCCACAGTGATCGCAGAACGTCGGCGTGATGTATGTAAAAACGTCCCATTTGTGTGGTACATTTACGGCCTGAGAACAACGAGAGGCGTTGTCGAAGTAGAAAACACAAAAAATCGTTATTCATCCATTTTTCTCCAGGCTTACATTAATATGCGTTTGCGCTCTTCATTTTTGAAAACGATCAAATTTACGCAATTTATATGTAATGACACCGTACGATTGTTCTGTATGACCGTAGCTAGTCGTCGCGCAAATTCTCCATGAATACGAACGGCATAAAATAGTGAGATGCCGAGTTTCCAACAGTAAACGATGATAATCCTGCCATCGTTTATATTTCAAATATCACGTGACCGATAAGCCGCAACACAACTGAGAATAATTGAACGTGCCTCGAATAATTAAGTACTCGACGTACTCAATCCATCCTCCATCATTTTCTTAAATACTTTTCTTTTGGCTATGATAAACGTATGCTATCGACAGGGTACTTATGAGCTATTACAAAATAGATTGTTTGTTAGAGTTAGAGAACTCCATTTAACGTGCTCTATCGATTATAAATTTAGAATCAGCTAATTAAATCGAGCGTCGTAAATTTCAAAGTACGTGAACTATATATCGAACGTTACGATCTCAACTATAGGCTTTACTCATTGTTAGTACATTCAGTAAAGCTTCACATATAGCCTAATTTAAATATGATAGCATGATTTTCTAAACTTTAATTTCCAAGAGATTCGGTTTAATCGTAATTAAATAACGCTATAAACTCCTGTTTGATATTCGGCACGTCCAATTATCTAAGCAGAGTTGTGTTCAAAGTTCAGAATTATACAATATTGGTGTAATGAGTACATTTTTTTCAATTTTCCTTATTTCAAAATAAATAATTACTCGATAAACAATCTATTTTTTGATTAATCGAGTGCTTTTATCGTTAAAATTTTAAAATTAGTACCAGCTTTAGGGATTTTTTAATCGATGAAAACATTTCTTCAAGGGTATATGATCTCCAAAATTTTTATTTCAAACAAATAGTTATCGAGAAAGGAACAAAGCTTTAAGTAGTTTAGAAAATATACCGATCACACAAATATATGTGTAAGGCCGAGTACTCAAGTTGTTGAGCACCTTCAATTTTTATCAATCTAACCAAACTTGAGCAGTAATATCTGCCGCATCTTAAGTAGTACGAGAAAAGATTCGGTCTGCCGAAGACAAGATTGAGACAAAGAGGCGAACCAAAAAATTAGATTCTCAAATTTGCAGCTTAGAATTGATAAAATAACGCTTTACCTCGTTCGTAAAAAATGAAATTGCTGAACATTCGTTGAGCAAATAAGCATTTCTCTCTCTCTTTCTCTCACTCCTAAATATTGAAACTGTTAAACTTTATCTCGTCTTTTGATTCATAATTTAATGAAAAATGCACGATTGAAAGGTTGATCTAAATAATAAAAAAACTAAAATGAATAGATTATATGTCAATTTTTACGACTTGATAGATTATTTTTACATTAACTATCATTTTAACCTACTAGAGTTGTGAAAGATCATTTTCTAGGCAAAACATGCTATCATGTACATTGGAGAATGGAGGAGCGATAGAGAGAGAGAGAGAGAGAGAGAGAGAGTCAAGGAAAAATCCTCAACTTTATATGTATATGAACGCGTAAAGAAAATTCATCGAGGCTAGCGGCCGAATGGCTTTTCGCCCCAGTTTCACGCCGTTCATTTTGCCACAAGCATCATCGTAGCAAAAAAAAGAAGAGAAAGAGTAACTAGAAAACCTTGTGTTGTGTACGTATTCACACACATACACATCGTCAAAGGAACAAAAATAAAGGAGAGGTAAAAGAGAGCGAAGCAGCGAAATACATACTTCACCTTCGTGCGCGTCGGCAAAAGGGTCATTGAGACGGTAGAAAAAAGCAAATTTCTCTTTTAGCATCATTTTCTTCCTTCTCCACTATTTTACATTTTCAACCGTTTAATAACTTTTTTTATAAAATTTTCAGAAAGATACCCGATAGAATATTCAAATGGATTGTTTACAAATGTAGTAGGTAATAAATAAGTGACTTTATTTTAACAGCTTCATTAACAGTCATGGAAATTTCTTATGCTCAACAATCAATGAATAACCGACTAAATTTTTTGATTCGCCTTCATTAGAAAACTTTGTTAAAAATCGTTCATTTTTTCAGTTTGCTCGAAAATTTAATTTTTTTATTGCTTTTAACCCTTCAAACGATTGAAGAATTTGAATGAAAATTCCCGCATAAAACTGCGTTTGAAACATGAACGGAATTTTCCACATCTCTTTTCTGTGCGTTATATTGGGAGTAAAGCTCGTCGTTCGAATTTTAATAAAAAATGGAGCTCGCTCTAATAATTGGTTATTACGAGAAAAATGAATTAATTAACGATATATAAAGAGTCCAAACCGTGGGTCCATGTAATGAAACGGACGATTTTGTGCAAAAAAGCAATCAAGAATAAGCGACCAGTGTTTGATTTTTTATCCAGTTTCAAAGACAATGGAATGAGTTTTTTCAGATTTTTCTTGCAACGGAAAAACAACGACTTCGCATATCCTGCGTTTTTATTTTTCGACTTTTTACCGCAACCGGCAATGAGATCAAGAAAGTTCATGCAGATTTCAAGCGACAAATGGACATTTATATCCCCTAGCATTTGCGAGCTTACGGCGAACTTTTTTTTATCGGTCATTACGCTTGCCCTTTTACGCTTCATCCACTGTTGAATACCTATTGCTTTTTCTCAGAGCGAAACTCAGGAAGCGAGGGCAAAAAAGAAAAAAGAGCTCTTGGCACTGGCCCTTGTGTGGTCGAGCAATTGCAATTGAACTAGCTTAGAAGAATTCGAGAAGCTCTGCAATTAGAGCAGCTGGTAAAAGGTAAAAGTATAACCTTCTTCATTATTGGTAATAGCCTTTGGAAACGCAAGAGGCGTGTATAATTTTTAATACTTTTTGTTTTGTTTGTGTCATTAAATACTTATGAGGGGAAAACGTGAGGCTAGAATCCAGATGTTCTCCAAAATATTTTTGGGAACTGCTTACATAAAATATACCCGTATTTGTTCTTTTGATTCAATAGGAGGTTATTTTAAAAATGATTTATTTTCCATTGAAAATTAGTTGCGATTTTTAATTACTAAAAGGAAACAAATTTAGGAAAAAATGTAATTATTATTAAAAAAAAAAGTTATTTTTTTATTATTTCATTTTTTTCTAAACATTTACGCAGTTTTTTAGAACACTATTCAATAATATTCATTAGAACATGTGTTTTGAAATTTAAATTTTGATCGTGCTTTGGTATTTCCTTCAATTAAACATAATTAACATTATAAAACAAACGAAGGGTTAAAGCTAAGATTGTCCTAAAGTGACTGATGCACTTATCGTTTATTCAAATTTTTAGCTTTGATTTTAAGACCATTGAGAGAATCATAAAATAAAGAAAAACAAATTACTTGTTTAACAAAATCGCATACGTGAACGCACATTTTTCAAAAGCAAAACAATCATCTTCGATACACTTTGAACATTATTTTCAGCTTAGTGTAAGACTATACAGCCAATTATAATTGGCTTGAGCTTGAAATATGACTCAGTAAAAGGATTCGCTTTCCAAACAACCAACTGGGATGGAAGAAAATTGAAAACGACCAAGCGAATGAATGAGTCACGTCTATATTGGTAACATACATGAAGAGCTCTAATGCGCAGTTCAAATTCGCTCAAAACAACCCTGCTACTGAATGCCCATCAAAACGGTGTAAACATAAATGGTAATCGGTATTATACGTGTCAATCGAATAGTGATTGCTTCGTTGATTCATTTGTAGCTCAATTGTATATCGTTGGAATTCTTCATTACATGAATTAATTGCGAAGGTAGTCGAACAACTTAGGTTGATAACAATTTTTTAAAGCAGAGACTCTAAACTAAATCAAGAGAGCTTCAAGAAAGATGTACAATTTGTGGGATAAGTAAAAAAAAACACCATTTTCAAGATATCCTGAGTAAGACATGTCCGTTGAGTAAGCTTATTCTCCTCGCAAAGCTTTGTAAAAATTATTGTAGGGAATTTAAAAAAATGTATTGAGAATAATACAAAACGGCTGATGAAAATGAATTTAAGTCCAGAAAACGAAGCGTAGAATGCCAACATCGAAGAATGACATAAAATATTTAAAGGAAAATAATAAATATATTTATTCAAAATGAAAACACAATCTTACTAAAGTATACTTTTAACAATTAATTTAAAAAATTTTATTATATTAGTTTTAACGCTTTGAAGCTAGTAGAACTTTTAAATTTTAGAATATGTTTATAAATCGACTATTACTTGGACGTATCATATGCATTCAACTTTGTTACTTAAACGTTTTTCAAAACACAAACGTCATAGGACTGTTAGAGATTTTAAATAAAAGTGAAAACATTTTTCAATGTAAGAAAGATTTCTCTTCATTTTTTCCATTGCATTTTTTAAAAATCCAAAATTATAATTTTTCACCGAGATAGAACCATATGTGTGGGTGTCCTTTGAGTATTTTAATGTGTTAAACTTTTTCTTTCTTTACATTCTCCTGCGTTCATGTTTAAAAAAGTCAAGCATTGTAAAAACGTTTTTTGAATGGTCAGTTAACAGTTGACTCAAGATCATATAAAGAATAAAGAATTAAAATAAACTTAAATCGCTCTGCACACTTAAGCATAATTTTTTTCATGGAAGATTATCTCTTGATTCCATTACATCGCCCGAGGTATTTACTATAACCATTAACGTTACGAAAAGTATACCCTATCTAGACACAGTAACTCAAATGATTAACTCTGAATATTACGGCGCGTGAACGCGTTTTTGGAAATAAGAAATACTAGTAATAAATATAAAAGAAGAA